CACAGGATTGGCAAAAGACAGGAAAAGGTAACACCCCGACTGACGAAATCGACAACGGCACTAAAACGGCGTTAATAGAATTTCTCACTGTTTAGCTAACAAGAAATTCAATAAAGAGCAATATGTTTTTCACCAGGCAATGTGCTCTTCATCCATTGCTCCACCGGAGCATCACCTTCTTTTACGACATCACCGAAAGCATTGAGCCAAACACATCGACGTTCAATCTCATTTCGCTAAAACATTCAGGAACTGAACATATCAAAAATCTAGCTAATGAAACGCAATAATCTTTAGGAAGATCATAATTCACTAATTTTTGAGAAGAAAAACTATAGAGATGAGCCACTAATAACAAGTTGAGATTCCTCTATTTTGTAAATACTTTCACTTGTTTCTCGACGTCCATTGTATATTTTCAATCTTGCACGATCATTTTACAAGATATACCTATGACTGTTTTGGATGATATTGGAAGAAAATACAGAATAAAGTAAACATCTTTCTCCAGGGAGAAAAGGCTGTATTTAGTTTCGTAATTTTACTGCTTGCATTGAGTAGAACACTTAGAACTCTAATGAAATTAATGTTAAAAATACTGATAATTACAATATGATTAAAGAAATGGAAAGCGATAGTCCAAAAATTTTTGGTTTAAAGAAATACAATATTTGTTCATGTAAGGCTGAATTACATGAAATAAACAACATTTCCAGCTTTGGCTCACCGAACGATGTGGCTAGATGTAACACGTTAGGTTTTACTTGTATCATGAGTATTTGGGGACGGAGCTGACGTAAAAATGGGCTTAATACTTTGTATTACCTCTAAAGGGCAACTGTGTTCATAGACTTCGCCTGATGGTAGCCACCAGGACTTTTTTGAGATAACTTCTTAAAAGCTCACTGATTGGTAAAGCGATTCCAACATTGTCGCCATTCAGTACAAACCAAACTTTAGTAGTGAGAACCTTACTGTCTTTCACAAGTTGGACTATCCTCTCCGATAAATTTGACTTTTTGAGAACTTGAGATGCTGGCGTACCCGTATAAGAGATTTCGATATTCTGCTGCACTGTTCATTATTTCTTAAAAAGGTTGTGCTAAATTGAAGTCTGATAGCGTTTATTTCGTAATGGTACGCTTTATCATAGTTAAGATCAACTTTTACACATTCGTTTTGCTCATTTACAGTCTATTTCACAGCCAGAGGTCTGGTGGCCGCTGCTTCGATAAGGCGGCCGGTCAAGATCGATCGATTGGCTCTTCGGAGAAGTGCGACTTTTCTCATTCGATTAGGAATTTTTTTCCCTCTTCAAAGGGATCTCCAGATCAAACGTATCACTCTGAGGCTACAAGACTTCCTCTATAAGTTCTCACGCTTTTCGTGCTTCCAGCGAAGTTATAGTTGACTTGCGCAACCAATGTAGAATATAATTTTATATTGTATTTTGCACCGTTGTAAAAGGGCTTTGTGGAAGAGCTGGCCAAGGACCGCTCTAGCCAGACATTTGAAATTTAAAATTATTACTAACATTCTTATAAAAAGTTGTTGTTCAGCGAATGGAGTCGATTATTCTTTTGCCGCCTTGTAATGGACAAGAACTCTATAACATTTTCAATGCATCAGTGTTTTTCCCGCTGAGCCGTTGGGGCTTGGTTGTTCGTGAAAAAAACCTCCCGGAGTAATCAATCCCTGAGGTATACAACATGCATTTGCCCTTTCAAATTTTAACTTTCTTTGAGGTGATTGAATGAATATCAGGCCTTTACAATGACTCAAGGTGGCTTATCGCTGTATCGAGTTAGTGCTATTTATCCTCCCAGACAAGTCACGATCAGTCCGCTCACAATTCACCGATCCCGGTGGGATGGATGGCTTGGTGAGCCTTGAGCGCGAGATGGAACCATCGACTTTGTGCGCGATATGGAGCACCTCTAGCCACTGCGCCACATGTGCTCGAGGCTGTTCATGATAGAGTTTATTAAATACTAATTCGTACAATAAATGGAAATAGTCCATTCCAGGTTTATCCTTTTGAGGATCAGCGTTACTAGGTAGGCGGCGTCGCTGTTTCGCTTTCTCAAGAGAAGCGACTTTTTTTGTGCATGTTTGCCTGGCTGCCTGCCTGCGTTCCCACAAAACGCAACGGCGCCGTCAAAGCACCTGATTGGTACTGATGTCGTGCGATGAGAAGCAAAATGCTTCTTGTGGTTCCCCAAGGGTTGTCAAGACTGTGCGGTTTGTGACTTCCAATGATTCAAGAAAGATACAAGGACACTGAAGAAGGTCATAGCATTAATACGTCGGCCATTATCTAATTGAAGTGAGTGGTATACAAGAAATTTGGCCACGAACAACCCTGCATCTGTTTATGAGAAAAAAAAACTGCATTATTCCTTATACACGGATTTTCAATATTGGGTCACCTCATTATTTCTTCCGCTTCATTATTTTATTTTATTTTCTGTTATACTGGATATTTACGTGAAGGCTGTGGTATATTGGTAAATGTTCTCGTAGCTTGGTCAGACAAAGGTCGACGGTTTCGGCAGTATCATCAGTAACCACACGCGGCTTACTGATAGTTGCAAAAAGGAACTATGCCTCGATGCGCACTTAGTAGTATACCACTTGTTACGCTGTTGTTTTTTCAAATATACTTAAGCGAACTGAATGATAAGCAAGAATTTGACATCAGACGAGAGTTGAACTCACGTAAAACTCTTACCAAGAGCGCGTGCGGCCACTACACCGTCAACGCCACCGCTCTGCTATCACACTTTCTTCCATGTATGCTATCGTCGCTGCGCAATCCAATTTCAACAAGCTTGGTCCAGTTAGCATGAATCGATATCAAATTCGGTGGCGCTCACAGCTATTCAAAAAAATATAATCCTTATGGATTCTTTATTTTTACTGCAACTTAGCAATGTTAGTTTTTATAATTGTTCATCTAAAACCCGCCTCCCTGGTTTGGTTGAACACAAGGGTAACCATTCAAGGACTACGAGACACATAATGTTGCTCACTGAGCGACGTCAAATCTCACTCAGCTATTGCAATGGCGGCGTCGCGTCTTGTGGGAAAGCAGGCGGGAAGCCAGACATGCAGAGCCGTTTGTCTGACTATAGCAGAAGTGATGGTGTGACGCCGCCTGCCGATCAACGCTGCTCCTCAAAAGCATATCTCTAGCCTAGGGTCGAATGTTTTGCATACTACTCAGTACTGTTAAGTGCATACTCAGAGCCTTACAGATGTGCTGAAAAGCAATAAAAATAGAGATTTGGAGCAGACAATATTGAAATTTACATGGTATTTTATCAGATTTTGGCGAATATATGAATGTTGTACTCGATGAGGCCTAAGAGCTCAGTGTGGTAAAAGAAGGCCGTAAAAACTTGGGCGTATCATACTCAAGGGCGACAACATCATGTTAGTTCATATTGTTAATGTTTACGCCACGATTTATCTGTTGTTTTTGCCCCTCATCTAGGGCGTTCTACTGTTCATCATCATTCCTCTGTTGCTGTTTTTTCGTAAATTTAATCTCGCGAAAATAGAATGAATTGCTGGAAACCTCCTTGTTCTACTGTTTTTTTTTGTACATGCCAAAAGAGAGCCTATATATTTGCCTGAACTGCGACTACACCATTCTCGAGTTATTAGGCATGAGGGTGTTTTTCCGTTAGATGGCGGCAAATGAATATTCGACCTCACCCACTGCACAAGAATTTTTCATAGGAGTGTCAGTGATCATTCGAAAGTTTAAATCTTTGGCGAGAGCCGTATGTGGCCGATTTTTCAAGACACCTTTCTATAACGCCTAAATCCGATATAAAATATGTCTTATACGACCACAGCTCCACTTTGAATATCTAAGTCAAGATCTATTCAAGCTAATAAGAAATCATAAGGAATATTGTTTAGCGATGTCGCTCAAAGGGGTTCATTTTCACCTGCAAATACCTAATTATGAAATCGCCAAAAATTCTGCTTGATATGCTTTCACGATGTGTATGATATTTGATCTCCTCGTTCACGAACATCTCGAAATCGAGCAGACTCCGAAATGATCTATCGGTCGATCAATATCCGCCGCTTTTCGGCTGCGGTAGTGAGTCGCGCGCGGTCTCCGTTCAAATGCTTGAATTTCACGCCTTAACGTGTTATGACGCTATCTCCCATTTCTAGAAAGTTCTGGTGATTTCGTCGGTCTATCATCGGCGAGCGTACCCCGGAAACTATTCCTTGTGCTTTTCAATATTCTAGATCTCTATTATATTGTTCATTTGTCTTATTTCACTTGGATATTTCTAATTTTGTCATGGCGCATGTGGCGCAGCGACAGAGGTGCTCTGCGCCACGCACAAGATCAATGGATCGATCTCGAGCGCATGGCTAACCGAGCGATTCATCCCTCCGTGGTCGGTGAATTGGTTCAAGACTTGTTTGGGAAGATCAGCAGCAGCACTAACCTTGTGCACCGGTAGATCCTTACGAGTCATTATAAAGACAAGATATGCATTCCATCACTCGATGGTTCTACGAACGGAATTGAATGCATGAGACATTCCTCGAGAATTGATCAACACCGAGAGCTTCATCCTTTCGCAATCTCGTCGTGAGCGCTTTATAATTGTGATTGGGTTCAATGTCGATACCGACTACCCGGAAAAGACCGTTGACGGCTGGCGGCTGACAGATAGTGCGTTGCAGTGTGTAAAGAGCTACCAGATAGAGTAAAGTGCGGGTTCGAGTCCCTCCTAACGCGAAAGTAATGCACATCGCCCTACATTCTTGGGTACATCTATAAATGGCACCAATGGAAAATTGGAGGAATTTCATTTGGTCCTAATTGCTTCCGATTCTGATTTTATAGCAGCATCACCATCACTAGAGATGATTTGTCAATAAGGTAATCATTTTACTGGACCGCTTATTGCGGTGTTATGATGTTTCAATAAACCCAATGATGTAGACTGGTGTGCAAAAATGTTTGCGTCAGCCAGGACTCGAAACCAGATCTTACTCTTTCCGGGGACGTATCCTAACCATTGCACTACCGACGCTCGTTTTGCACTGTACTCTTTCTAAGCTACAAAGCGTTATCTGTCAGTAGCCAATCGTCTACGGCCTGGCGGGGTTGTCGTCATCGACATTGGACGCACTTGTGTAGACAGATATTGGGTATCAATAATCGATTAGAAATAATTTCATTTGACGGCCACTTGCGGTGTTATGATGGTACAATATGCTTAATAGTGTAGAGTGCCGTTCTAAAACGTTTCCGTGAGCCGCGATTTAAACCCAGGTCTCGCTCTTCCGGGAGCGTATGCTAACCGTTTCACAGCACTCTACATTATTGAGTATATTGTACCACCATAACCCGCAAGTGGCTGTCAAATAAACTCATTTCTGGTTGACAATTCATACTCTGTCTTGAACATAATATAAAATAACTCCGAGTTCTAGTAGTTATGTTCAGAAAACTAGCTGGCTAATGTCATAAAAAAAGAAAGTCTGCGCTCTGAAACTGATCTCAGAACGCTTGCACATGCTCGTCTGAGGAAAAATGACGGTTAAGTGGGAATGACAATAAACCCTCTTCACACCGTGGTCACAAAGATTTTTATTTTAAATATTGGTTTTGTGGTCGTTTGTGTTATCAGTAGATTGAGAAATTTCAATATGGATTGCAGTTACATTGAGAGAATGCGCTCCAGCGATATTCTCTGAAGGGTCGTCCTTCAACCCTTTGGGAACAGCAGTTCAAACTGCAAGCAACGACGTGTGGGTTCCTTTGACCAGTATCACATTTTGTTTTCTATTGCGCGGTTTCCATCTTAGCATTCATTCTTCTCCTCGCTTGCTTGAAAGTTTCATCTTCCTCACGAGTGCCGTAGGACACAATTCTAATACGTATCCTTGCAATCTGAAGGATAGTTAAGCTAGGGAAACTCGTTGATCATCTATTTATTGATTACCAGTGAGCACTGTGGGAAGAAGGGGGGGGGGGTAGGAATCGATTTCACGCTGAGCACCGCTCGCCACTCGGACAACGGTTCAAGGTCAACATTAAGACAAAACTCTTGGCAGTGATCAATGACTGTAGGATGCATCATGTATTCTTCTTCGTCTCGCATCGTTCGAGGTGAATGGATGCTTATCTAGCCTCTACAATGACTCGCTGTGGCTTGCCGGTGTATCAAGTCGGTCGCGCTATCTACGCAGACTATTTCCATGGCAATTCAACCACCATAGATGTATGGAAAAGCGTTGAGCGCTCGATCGAACCACTGACCATCAACTGATCGACCGCGTGTGTCGCAGGGCACCTCTAACCGATGCGCCAGACGAGCTCAACATCGAAAGGGCCATCAAAAACTGGAAAACATTGGTGTGCTAAGTAAATCTTTTAGTTGTTGTTTCTTAGCTGTGGTTTGACACTATTAAGTTCCAGCGTGAAAGAGCTCAATGTCCACATGTACTTTCGGACTCCATTCGTTAAGAGTTGGATGCTAACGATACGATGATTTATATCGCAAAAAGAATAGTGGAGAAGCAGTACCCTCGGCAATCCTGCCGTAGTAAGCTCCCCGTATATAGTTGAATGACGGGTTCAATTCCCGCTTATTGTCTAATCTCTTCATACCACTCTAATATCATGCATGGATACACTTTATCAATTCATATCCCGTATTCAGTCATTCTGCTATTAGTTTTGGGAGGAATAATACAATATCAGTTTTTTAGTTTTGATAATGAACATTCTTTCATTTCACACAATATCCAAAATCATGACAGTAACTCACCTATGTAACCTAACGTCCCGTTGATCGTCGAGTGACTCGAGCAGGCACCAGTAACACCTTCATTTTTCCCTATCGCGTGCAAACTAGCCCAAAAGGTCCTCTTTGCTTTTGGATTCATTGAGGTATCATATCTTTCTTTCAGGTTCATCAGGATGGTGGTCTTCCTGTGAAGCTCTTGAAATACTGGCGGAGTCATATTTGTAACCTAATGAGCATTGACCTCTGTAGTGTAGTGGTAGCACGCTCCTCCCGTGTGCGTGAGACACGGGTTCAACTCCCGCCTGCGGACCTATTACTCTACATTCTTTGATAAATACACTATGCAATTATTCTGCTGTTATACCCAGTGATATTGAGTGATGTGCAAAACTTTCACGTCATCGAACCCGCATTTCACCCTTTCCAGGGAGCGTGCTCTTAATGATGATGTGCTGTAGCGTGGAAAGAGTGGTGACAAAACAAGCGTGCAATTGATTAAAAGCACGAGTCCCCAACGTCAAAGTTTTGCATATTACTCAACATCTTTCCGTATATGTATAATAAGCGCCACACTAAAAAACAGTTAAATAAAACGAATTCTTGTCGATCATATTCTGCTGTTAGTTGTGCAAGGATTCTTACGACATTAATCTTTCAGTCTTGATAATCGACACTCTCTTATTTCATACAATATCTAAAGTCATAGTATTTTAGCTTTACTTTATTACTTTATATTATCCGTCTTAACAATGTGTTTTTTTTGTGCGATTCCCAGTACTTCTAGCATACGATCCAATCCTTCGTCTTCTTCTCGAGCGGCGTAGAATATTGGTCAGACCCGTTAGCTTGTAATTTCGAGGATATCCTAGCTTGGTGTTTGTCAGGGCGTTCGCTGTTGGCTGCCGGGGTATGTTTGAGGTTGGCGATAGGCGCCGTGCAGGCCGCGACGAGCATCACAGCCACTCGGCTATGGCTTCACAAATTCATAATAGTGGCTGAAATTTTGAAAAAACAATGCCTAGTATATATCCAGTGATGTTGAATTATATGCAAAACGGTTGCTTGCTCACAGGTGCGATGAATTATGCCGATGAATTGGTGGTAGAAGGACGGTGGCCCCGGTACTGCGGTGGTTGTAGCACGCGCCAACTGCATGGGTGAGACGTAGGTCAACGACGGCGTGGAGCCAAATGTCTTGAATATCACTTAACATCATTGCACATTTAGTTGTAATATCGTAACACTGCCATAAGGGCGACAGACCTGAAGTTATAAAATGAGTTGTTGACAAAAATGACACTGCACACTGCATGCGATGCCATTTTGTCACCATCCCTCAACAGTATTTTGATATTACTATACAGTCTCTTAGAATTGTGGAGAAGACTTTGCTTCATCGTTTTATCAATGTTGACTTTTCATATATCCACTTATGTTCAAAATATGTTTTATTTTTCGCAACGATGTGGTTTTTTTTCGTAAAATGCAGGATTTCAGGAGACATTGAGTGTTGTTTTTTTCTTATTGTATAAACTTTACTATGTATGGACTACCAAACCCGCTTTGGTGTTGGAGCAATGAGCTAATCACTACGAATGTGAAACGTAGTTTACTTTTCGTTGCTATAACACACCAAGAAGGCCTAATCAAGAATTGATCTCAGTTTGGAATTCTTTTTTTTTGGCTATCAAATAACTACTAAAAGTCTAAGGAGAAGTCTGTGTCTCCAAAAATCAGTGTAGTTGATTTTGATAAACGCAGCCTCTCAAAGCGTTGAGGTCATCCTAGTTTCTTTTGTGAGACACTAACGCTTCCATTTTTTCGCGGTGGCTATACTTGTTTCTTGATTTATCAATATTATATGAGCTTCCTACCTGCTTGAAATCATTGTTTCTATAAGTATTCATCGGCTGCCAAGCACAAATGTCTGGTCTGTCTGATTAATTTTGAAGGCTCTTCCCTGTAATTGCGCAGGGATTTTCGAAAAGACGCCTTTTGCTGAAAAAAATTTTTACTGTACTTTCAATAATCTTTCAAAAGCTTAGATCTCTGAAACTCTAAAACGTTACTAGTTTTCCAGAAAGAGAATCTTACAGTGCTGTCTCACTAAAGATGAAATTTTGATAGGCCTTTTTGAAGCGCTGTCGCGCACTAACACGCGTTATTAATTCTCGCAGAACAAAACTCTTCCCTTAGGCTGCCTCGAATCGTCCGATAGCAGAATCCTCTGGTAATTTAAAAATGTGCTTTTTTTGAATCTTCTTACATCACTGTAACCAAGAAATGTTAGTGTTTCAGACAGGCGTATTTCTCGCACAGCAGAGCTCTTTCCTAAATTATAAATAGCCTGTCGATAGTGTTAGTTTTGGCAAATCCAGTACTTTATCTTTCCTGAAAAGACCATTTAAATGCACCGCAGCAGGGAAAGCAAATGTGAACTTCAAACACGCCACACACTGCTTTCGGCTAGGGTGCAGTGGCCGTGAATCCATAACGCAACCAGAATTTTTCTCCGCTTTGGCAAAAACTCCAGATGAAATACATGATTCCGATAGTAGAAAATATACTCTATACGTTCATATGCTCCTTGTGATTGCGCTTAGAATGAGAGGAGTTTTTTAACGTAATGAAATGGAAATGGAAAGCCTGAACTATCAAAACGGTATAATAAAGTTTTACTACAAATTCCAACACAAAGAATCTAGAAATCCTTGAGAAACGATTAGAAAATTTTCTAGAATAATTAAGGAGAATATCTCCGATAATGCGTGGCGCTTATGAATTACAATCAAATTTTTTCTACTACAACGCTTTAAGTCTTCAAAAAGCAAGTATTTTTGAAACTTCTGAAATTTACGCTTTCTATGGTTGATACCTGTGCTACAGCTCTGTCAGAAGGCTCTTCTAATAAAAACCAACTCCACTAGATTTAAGCTTATGATTAATCAGTAAGGTGCAGTGCGAAATCTTCGTCCAACAAAAAAGGTGTGCTGTCCGGCCGGTAATGAGCTTTGTATCAGTCTTTAATACCAAAAAGTTACTAACTCGAAGAAGAGTGCTCGAATTTGCACGAATGAGCCACGCGGGATTTTTACGAAGAACGGTTTAAGGCTGGATTATTACTGTTCATAGCAACAGTGACTATACGGTGCAAGTAAGCTGGAGATATATAGTTGAGCGATTAGATACGAAGTTGTGCAATTAGCTGGATTACTGAAATTAACGGAATTAGGCCATGCGAATTCACCGGACCATTGCAGAGACGAACATCAGTCTCCTTTAAACACTTCATCCACTTATATACTGACCGATAGCAAACAGTCTCTCTAATCGCGAGCAGAAGCCGTAACGTAGATAACAAGTGTAACATGTAACGGTTCATTGGAAAACATAGAAATTCAGTGGCTTTTTTTGCTAGGTTGGTTATATGGATTGAATTTGGAATTGCTTAATTTTTTTTTTCCATTTTCACCACTTAGACATCATATCTGTAAATGGGAAACCTAGAAAAAAGACGGCATCGATGATCGGCATTTACTTGCATCGTTTCTAAATAACGAAGAGCTATTTCCTTTCATTACTATAAATACTGGCAAAGTATTCTTTCTCACTGATTTCACTTAATAAAACTTAACTGCTATCGAACTCTTCATGAAATGCTCACTGTTCTATAACAGTGATATGACTAACGTTTTCCCACCTAGACAAAGTACGCGACTAAGTATTTACACTTGCTGGGTGCCGTACAATCTTTCTTTTTTGTTATACGTCATCTTGTATCAATCGAAATTTTTGATACCTTGTCAGAATATTTCTTATCAGTCTTCTAGTAATACAGTGACGTTGTTGCGTTTTTCTTCTGCTCTTTAAGATTACTATCTGTTAATTTCGTAGTTGAATCCGTGCTGTATCAGGAGTACGTAATCACTTGAGTTTTCGATGAAATGGTACTCGAATGACAGATATATTTTTCAGCTATAATAGAGCATTCCCTGCAAACGAGAACAATCAAGATTTTGTCAAGGATGGAAAAGGTTTCCTCAGTGTTTTACACTACAGCTAAGGCACTCGTTATATTTAAATTGTTGCAGGTTCGGATACCAGAGGGCAAAAGGCTGCGTTATCGCTGTAATGTACGAGGCTGTCTCGATTCAAATAGATAATTTTCACTCGCGACCATAACGGAGCACTTAGCATCTCATTTCAATAAGATTACAAGGTGTGACACTGGTTTTTTTTATGTATTTAAGTCTTCTGAGGTTCTTCACTAATAATTGTGAAAGTTTTCCATTGTATTTTACATTCACTTATCCATCAATACGGAAGAGGAGGGATGAGGACTGTGTGCGACTGGATAGTTATGCAGGACATCAGGAAGTAACAAACTGGTTTGACGTACTCTCCCAGCACTATGTTGCAGTAACTCAACGAACACCTTACTAGGTACACCATTTAGGCTCTGCAAAGTTCCAACAAAGCTTGTACGATTTACAATCTCTCATTCACGAAAAACGAAGTCATCATGCAGTAGTCGAATCAGCACTACAAAGGTTCAACGAACGTTATGGAGGACGCACGCGGGAAGACGAATCAAGTGCTAGAAGTGATGGAATAATGTTTATCACCGTCTCACTGCCCTCTTGCCAGGGGTGAGAGCCTCAGTTCTCATTTGTGAACCATTACTGTACAGTCGGTACGTAGATGATTCCTATGCAAAACATTCGACATTATGAGTGAGTTTGGCTTGCGTTTCACCCATGCCGTGATTGAAAGATGTCACCACACCACCGATGCCGGCGCTCTGCTACCAGTCTTTTTTCTATTCAAACTACTGTAACTGTCAACATCCCTAGACGAGCTTTGCCTGGTAAGCACATCGACATTGAACAGTGTCTCCATGCGCCTCCGATTGCACGTTCGGCTGACGCCTCATATCAAATGTCTTGCATACTGCTCAGTATTCTTCGATATGTAGCTGTAAAATCATGCCATTGCTAAAAAGCAGTTGAAATGAAGGAATTTTTTTAGAATATAAGTAGATGATTGTTTTGTCATCTGCTCTACACACGTATGAAGGACAAATGTTTTAAACTGTTGAATGATTAGCAAGGACATGCTAAGGTAACAATAGAAAAACATAGGGAGAACTGACTTAAATTTCAGAGTGTTCAAATACTACTGGAAGCCAAGCAATAAAAGTATACTAGTAAAGTATTTTTCTGTTTATTCCTCGCACATAAAAAATACTCGTGCGAAACATGTACCGCATAGCAGTAGGTGTCTGCACGAGAGGTGAAGAGTGGAAGGAGT